TATATATATATATATTCTCTCTCTATGTGTGTGTATAGAATTTCTGTGTGTGTGTGTATATATATATATATATATATATATATATATATATCTTTTAGAGTTAAGTAGATATTCTATATATTCTTTCTCTATGTGTGTGTATAGAATATTTATACTTATATATGTATACATACATATCTATATGCATATATATATATATATATATAATCTCCACCTCTTTTAGAGCTAAGTGGATATTCTATATAAGATTTAGTTTCATCAATTCCTATTCCCACTACATCTAACTCCAAAATGCATCACTTTATGAAACCATGAATCCATTATAATAATTGATTATATATAATGAAGAATGTAATTCCATTTTAAAACTTGAATTACATTGATGAGGCTTCACTTGAACATTTAAACCTTCTTCAGTCTCTGGATTTCTAGAGTTTCAGGTATGCAGCACCACGGCTGGCCTATTTAATACTAATCCTATATACATATCAACTGCACTTATTATTTAAAATACATAATCTAAACTATAACTGATTTACATTATACAATATGAAGCTGAAATTTTTACCAATATTTTGTAAAGTTTAAGTATAAGAATTTTAAACTTCATATTATTTAAAATTTTTTGGATAAAGTGAATTAATTGTCAATATTAATAGAGTTTACTGTGATTTCTCACACAATAAAGATAGCAGACACTTATTGAATCACGGGAATTAGTGTCTCTTCTTCCCATCCTTAGAGCCTTTATTTATTTGTAGTCTTTAAGATACTTCCTATAGATTACAAGAAAGATGATTGGGGACCATGGGCATTGCACTATACAAATCACAAAAGCTTTTCCTTGCATGATTTTCTGCCACCTTTCATCCTTCTCCAAATTTACTTATCCAGCACTATAATAGTCAGTGTTCTAGATGAAGATAAACTATTTTCGTAGCCCTTAGATACTGCAGAGAGCATTTTGTATTTGTCTTTCTCTTTAACTTATCATAACTAATGCATTTCCCTTTACTCACATATTATCATTTAAAAATTATGAAATTTAATTCTTTATAGCTAATAATTCACTAGATATTTACATGTTTATATATACATGCCACACTTATTTTTATGCTTATTGATTAATAGGTTCCTAGGTTAATTATGTACCATAACATTTGTGATATTACAGAAATAACTTGGGGTATGAGTATTTTTTGATATATTGGCAACTTTCTTTGATATTACTGTAATTTGAACTGTCCTTTAGTATTCGCTAAAGTTCAGTATGGTAAAAGCAGCTTATTTCCTAGAGAAACATTATGATACTTTGGGAATTCTAAGAGGTAGAGTTTAACCAGAAGTATATTAAACACGTTTCCTAAGTTGCACTGTAGAAGTCTGATCTCTTACTTTCTCTTTTTCTGTCTTAGTCATGGAGTAAAAGGTTGTATGAGCACCTGTTGCCCTAGCCAAAATAATTTATACTCGAAGTGATGGTCTGAATCCTTAAATCTGTGAGAAATATAAACAGTTAATGTACACGGAGTAGCTGGATATATGGTAGATATGCTCTTGACATTTGAGTAACATCATTTCTTTTTTTCTTTTCCTTTTGTTCATAGTAGCTGAATGGATACAATATACACCCCCACCAATAATGTCTAGCATGTTGTATTTCCTCCTTTACATAATTATTATTTTTGGATGTTTTGGACTCTTTGATAATAGCTATTTGTTATCCCTGTATCAGAATGGCTTCCTAGTGCAAATTAAGGGTAGAAGAGTTTAATTTGGCTCAGCATTTTGGACAGTGAATTCTGTATCTGAACTTTTGACTTGTTTGTGTTTTATTCTCTACCCTTCTTCATTCCTTTTCTTCCACTCTTTCAACCACCTAGCACTAGATAAGAGGGTGAAAAGGACAGAGGGGAAACAGGACTACATTATTGTTGTACTACTTCCAGCTGATTAGGTTGTCAAGTTCTCTGGGACAAGTTTGATCTTTACAGTCTGGATATCTAATTTCTCCTCCTCTTCCTTCTCTTTCTCTTCCTCTTTCTCTCCCTCCCCCTCCCCTCTCCCTCCCCCTCTCCCTCCCCTCCCCCTCCCGCTCCCCCTCCTCCTCCTCCCCCCCTCCTCCTTCTCATTTCTTCTTTGTGCATGGCTATTTTCAAACAACAACCAACAAAAAAGCAACAACCCAACAGCAGCTCTCCAACTCTCAGGGCCCTAGCATTTACATCCTATCTGATTAGTCCCCAGAATTCAAAATGTCACACACTTGCAGAAAATATCTACAGCTACTAAAATCATACACCTGGTAGAGCCTAAGGCAAACCAGAATCAGCTGTCGTGTACAATCTGAAGCATCCCTATACCCTATATCTGGGATGAAAACAAAAATATATTCTCATAATATTTCGGTAATTTTTTTTAATTAGAAAATCTGACTACATATCCCCCGTTCTGTTTTAAGCCTTTAAGTTTGCCATGTGTGTTTTGGTTGGAAATTAGAAACAGGGATATCTTAATTGAAATAAGCATTCTTTTTTTTGGACCAGTGGCCAAGGATTTCCGGAGACCTCTCATGCTCAAGTCTAATCAGTTTTGGTGATATTCACAACTTTTCACTTTCTGTGGAAATATAAGCATACCTGCATGCCCAGTGCAAAACTTTTACACGCTTCCTTTCTGATGTTAACACATTCTGAGCGTATATAGGCTGGCTTAATTCCAGAGGTTTTTTTTTTTTAATAACCTGGTGAATGTCAGCTGCTATTGTCTTAAACAGC